GTTTCTACGAGGTGCGGTTTTATTGCTCTCACTGTACAACACACATCCCCAAGGTACCTCAGCAACCATAGTCAGTGGCGTTTCCAAACCTTCGTCTCGATTGGAAGCAATTGCTCGTGAATATGTCAAATTCAAGTATCAAGAAACTCGCCGACAGCGATGGCCACTTCAGACGACAGCAGTCGCAGTTCAGGTCATCCATCTCGAGCGAACCAGGAGCCGAGTTTCCTCCAGTAAAAGACAGATACGTATGCGTTTTGTGTTCCAACGACATGCAGATATTCTCTGACTGCTTGTCTAGGTCTTGTATCTCAACATGGGCTGCCCATGGGCGCACCGAACAAACATAGTCCGAAGTCTCAAAGGCCTCGAAGAAATAGTCCAACTCGTATTAATGGACTATCAAATGTTTCCAGACGGATGGTGAGTAGAGCACACCCACATCTGCCTACCCGCTTTCCCATACCGATGATGACGCGAAAAGGGGTTTCACGGATCGATATGGCACGGCGGAAAAAGATCCCCTCTATGGCTTCACGAAGATCCGCCAATTCTACCTCAAGGCCGATCCCAGCGATACGGGCCGCTTCACGGTGCCCATGCTCTGGGATAGACAGCAAGAAACAAGCGTCAGCAACGAGAGCGCCGACATCATCCGCATGTTCTTCACCGAATTCGACAATCTACTCCCTGAGAAGCTTCGAGAGGCGAATAAGCCGGCCGGGGGCCTCCGTCCTGACCATCTACTTGAGCAAATCGACGAGATGAATGAGTGGACTTATGATCAAATCAACAATGGAGTCTACAAGACTGGGTTCGCGAGTACGCAGGAAGCTTACGAGCAGAATGTCGTCAGAGTCTTCGAGGGGCTCGATAGGCTCGAGGCTCAATTGGCTGAACAGGCAAAGGGCCCCTTCCTGTTTGGTGACTATCTCACCGAGGCTGATATCAGGGTTTATCCCACCATCGCGAGGTTCGATGTGGCGTACCCTTCGCTATGCAGGTGTAACCTCAGGACGATCAGACACGATTATTTGAGAATCGATCGATGGTATCGTCATCTTTATTATGATGAGAGTGAGGAGACTAGGGGTGCTTTTAGGACGACAATCGCTTCTTTTGCAGTGGTGAGTATTTTCATGATATACCAGTGATATCAATGCTGATGTTTGCGTAGTATGAGAAGGGATATGCGGCTGCGTCGCAGGCCAAGATTATACCCCTGGGCCCAGTACCGGATATCCTACCCAGAGATGCGTAGATTGTGCAAAATCAGTCACGCTCCGCTAGAACAAATCTGACCAATATATCAACTTCGCGAGATGGAGCTCTGTCAACGTTTCATTTAATGAACGAAGCTGAACGAATTAAGACTGCCCCTCGTTATAAGTCGCCGAATTACCTTGACTCCTCCGCAATTTCGAGCTTCCATATAAGCGGCGTTTTGTTTTATGACAGATACGATTGGAAAAGAAACCGGTGAGGACATGTCGAAGCAAGAGTAGGTTTCTCGAAAATATGACAGGTCTGAAAGACTCGCTCGCATACGTCTGCAGCACGGGAGCCCATGCACGAGCTGCCGCATACGGGTCTCGAAACGATCCTTTCAAGCCACCACATTCTTACTTCAGAGCAACTACTATACCGATCGGCCCATTCCCCTAAACAAGCGACCATGTTCTCAATCCCTCCACTATCATTCAGAAAAAAAAAATGTTACTCAGCATGAGCGACCTGCCGGACCCCAGCTGCAACTCATCTAAAGGCCTTCTCGATCGTTATGACCAATTCAATCACAAAACCACCACTCCTGCACACTCTCACACCTCCATCCCCAAACCAGAGTATCGAGCATCTCATATCTAGACTAGACTGGCAACGAAGTCGTGTCGTTCGACGGTGAACCTTACATCCTTCCCTAAACAATAAATACCCAATGTGCTTGCTCGTACTTTGGTCCCTCTGAGCATATCGGCTTCGTGCCCTAAAATCGGGTATTTGCTATTACGCTCGGCGCTGAGTTCGCTTAGACAAGGATCAGATCAGCATTTTGCGTCTGAGGCCTTGGGTCATAGCGTAGGCGGTTCCGTGGAACACACCGGCAGTTTCGCCAATTGCTGTAACATGCTATGCGTACGAGTATTACGGCACGCAATGGCGAATGCAGGCTCAACATGTGTTGCGATATCACTGCCTGGGTGCGTTCAAGCTGCGAAGAGTGTTGTGGCCTTCGAATATAAAGCGTGGCGGTGCTGGTCACTGTTCGGACACTTGTTGCGTGAATGCTGCCCACAGAAAGGGGATTGCGTTTGCTTCTTGGTCTTTCAAGGCCTCTGTATGTTATGCTGTATACATTGTGACACATGACGTGGATGTGTTGCTGGAGTTTCGTGAAGGTTGGATGATAGAAGACACGCTTGGGTGGCTAGGTATAGTCGAGGGTCAGGTGAGGAGAATTGCTCTGTGGCTACCTTAGCTTCTGGTGCGAAAGTGGAGTGTTGGGGGGTCGTCGAAATCATCTGTAGAGGACGATGGTGATGCCATTGCGACTGAGAGGTTCCTGAACAAATCAAAGAAACCAAAGAAGAAGACTCGAGTTGTAACGTCGTGGTTTAAGAGGAGACTCTAGACGCACGAGGTTTCAAGCAGTTATTCAAAACGGTGTTGTTACACAAGATACCTTAGCAACCATCCGCCAGCGCGTCAAGACTATCAATGATTGGTCAGATCTGCATCAGTGGATATCGCTTTACATGAACCGGTCAACATCAGATCAGCACATAATAACACTTTCGCAATCAAAGCTTAGCCTTCTCTTTCTCTTGTAAAAAGTTACCCGTTGCAACTTTCATGAAGTCGTCCGTCATCTGGGCTCTCTTCTCCCTAGGAATACTTCGTCGCATGTCTTCGATAATCTTTTCTTCGTCTCTCCATCTTTCCAGCTCCTGTGTCATCCACTTGGAGCATTCATTTGCAGTTTCTTCGACCTTCTCCATAGGGATCAAATGGCCAGCGTCAAGTACGACCTCCTTGACTCGACCAAGTTTAGCGCCGCCACTGCCACCGACGCCTACTCCAGTCATGGCCATTTTGTCCGCGCGTAGGTGTGGCTCGGACAGATTCGACTTGGAGCCGAAGACGTACAATACGCTGGGTCGCAAGAACGGGAGCTGCTGAAAAACGACCAGTGCTTCAGGACGGTAGAAGGGAGAAATGCCCGGGATTGACAGGTCGACGTCCGGATGAGTGAGCAGGTTCGGCTGCGTGGTAGGGTTGGGGTTTAGCTTGCTCGGCAGGTTTCCGCGCATGAATGTGAGTACTTCTTGGTGCTTACTCGTCGTCAGAGTGACTTCTTGGCTTTCGTGAGACGGGTAGAGCTTCGAGGGCAGATCGCGCAGACCATGTTCTATCCAACAGTCGAGCACTCTCGGGTCCCAGGTCTGGTAGAACTTGGACTTTTTGAACGCTGTTCGTGCTGCCTCACGGCTCGGCCATCGATCTCTGCGCTTGGCCGAGGCCTGGGCGGGTACATAATTGCCCTGTGGATTCGGTGCTCGCTGTATTACAGGATCTATGAGGATGAGCGTTGAAAATAGACGAGGATGCATAAGCGCCAGATTTGTAACGTGGAAGCCGCCCATACTGTGCCCCACGCCAACTAAAGGTCGTGGCATTTGATCGCGGAAGTGATTGATCGTAAGGAAGAGGTCTCGTGTATGGTCCCACCATGATGCTGGCAGTGTCAGGTAAGCAGGCTTTCAGGTTGTAGACATTTCGATACTCACGATCATTACCCAGCAAGTCTTCATTCAATACGCCAGAGTGTCCCTGGTGAGCAACATCCGCAATCCATATGCTTCTTATGCGGACATTGTTGGCTTTGAGCTTTTGGTATAGCTCATCCCAGAGAGGCTCATACAATTCCTTTTCCAGGTCAGTATGCGCACGTTTCGATGCAAGATCATACTACCTTGGGAAACCCATTAGCATGTGCACCAATGATAGTCACATCCCCTGGCTGTGGATTGATGTTGTCCTTCGGAGTGTACTGCTTGATTGCTAGATGTAACACATCTTCTTGTGTTTCTGCAGTCGCAAGAGGATACCCTCGAATGTATGAACAAGGACGTGTATGTTCTTTTAGCAGAAAATAGGACGACGACATAGTGAGCACGGTCGATGGTGAAGATCCCCAAACGCAAATCGAGCGCGTATTCCTGTCTATAAGCGCACTACTATGAGTCTGTCCAAAGAGACCAATGCAGACTAATTTCGGAACAGGTGAGATAGCACTGTAATATTTAACGAAATCTATGGGTATTGTACAATACACAATGAAGCTGGGGGTGGAGCAGGTGAAGCCTGAGGCCGAGGTTCGTTGACTTGAATTGCCGAAGCCCGCCGAGCCTGAAGATCAGCGGCAGTTGCAGATCTTGGAGTCCGTGAACAGTACGAGACCACTTCCGCTGGTATACAACAATTTTAGAGGGCGAATACAGAAGCCTGTTTCTGCTGATCATGAACTAAAGATTATGTGCCACTTGAGTGCTTTAGAGTGGATTGGAACCTTTGACTGTCCTCGAAGACAGAGCTTCGGGAGATTGGCAAGACCGCCTTAGTCATATGTATCCTACCTATTCTTTCAGTTTGATTAACCTCTCCTCTTTAATCAATACACCAACCCATATGAAGCACATAACCTCTACCTAGGCACTGCAGAGTGTGATATGAAACGACCTTTCGCTAGCTCCGACCTCTTTATTGGTTCCAGCAGATCACATACGCTCGTACAGGCATGCTCACGAAGAGTCCTACATGGTCAGGGTCGCCCACCTGACAATGCCAAGCTATGGCTTCAACCGAGTCGGGAAGAATCCCGAACTAGGCCCCCTGCCCCACACGACATTTGCAAAAAATTAAGCACAAAACACCGTTGCTTGTGGGTGACCTCCTGAACTACTACTTTTGGTTCTTAGGCCATCAGAGACGCAAAAAGAAATTGGACTAGCGGCGAATTGAACGCCGGACCTTCTCCATTCGCGTTCAGCTTGGTACTGAAGATGCTAAGAAGATGTCATACCACTAGACCACAAGCCCATTAGATACGATGAATCTGTGACAGATGGTTTATATTCCACTAGAGTACAGTCATGCATCCTTGTGCAACCTCAAAGCAGTCTGAGCATGTTTTTGATTCTACCGCTCGAATCGACAAACACTTCCGAGGCCATTGCGTCAGCGTACCACAGAGCCGTCACCACTCTGTCCTAGAAAACCCTTCAATTACGTCTCTTCTCAGTCCCAGCCGGTCCATAATACCCAGCACCAAACTCCAAACTCGACCTCTCAAACACCTCCTCATGCACTAATCCCCATGGCGCAAGCCAGCTTGCCTCATACACCTTGACGTTGACTGTCGCCTCGAAGCTCTGTCCAAGATAGTTCTCCCTATGCCCATCGGCGAACGGTGAACTAAGTCCAAAGAAAGTGCCCTCAGGTGCCTTGGCGGAGACGACAATCTTCCTTGACCAACTCTGAACACTGAGTTCAAAACTTCGATTTTCCCAGCTAGACTTGACACTCATTGTCAGACTCAGGCCTGCCACCTTTACAGCCAATGGCGGTCTGAATGTAGTGCTGTATTTTGGATCACTGGAATGATAGCCAAGCAGATAAGCTTCAAGACCTAGGATCTGACCGCCTGCGATACAAATACCGCGGTTTGGGCCGTCCCGAGCCTGGAGCCAAATATGTGCTGAGGGGAAGGAAGATGCCCAGTTCTTTTCTTGGTGAACAACTGCTGTGCCCGAAGTGTCGGAGGAGGGGAGATCATAGTCCTTGATCTTGAGATCGAAATTGACAGTCGAGGAGACGGACTGGACGTGCCAATGCAGTGGTAGAGGTAGATACACTAGTAGACCTTCGGGTGTATCCATGTCTGGCATCCATGGAGTATGAGAAGTGGTCTTTGCGTGAAAGCTGAAGGCTTCATTTTCGACAGTATACTCGGTTGTGCTATCCGAATGGACTTTCACATGGCCGCCTGGGAAGTGCTGCTCGAATGCTATGGCATCGTTGTGGAATGGTATCATGTCTAGTCTCTCAACCCAGAGCTCGCGTTGAAATAATTTGGATGTGTCTTGGGGCACGTAAGTGAATGAGATCATGTGCGGTTTCTTCTCTGCGCCAGGAACGGTGCAAATAATCAATGCTAAGTGAGCGCCTGATGGTAGTTGAAATTTGGCATAGTAGCCCTCGAATGTCGCGCTCGGATGGGGCTTGTAATGATCCATGGCGAAGCGTTCGAAGTGGTTTAGTACTTCTACTATCACTTATTATGGCGTACTGGGAAGATGCGTTTTCCACAGGGAAGTTTAAGTCTTGATAAGCTGCTGCACGATGATAATGGATAAGAGATGTTGGAATGATTGCACCTACAGGGTCAGAAGTGACCGGAGATGATGATGTCACTCATTACCAATTGTTGCACAAAAAAAGGCTTGTATGTGAGTCGGATCATGGACGCAAAAGAAAGCCACTGTACACTGTCACTGTGCTGTAGCATGTGCAAGATTGCTGTTTGTTACAGGTATGCTTGATTGATTAATTGATTGATTTTTTCATACGCTATGCGCTTACCATAGGAAGCATGAGTGGCTACTATCTACTTGTTTGCTACTTATACCAATATTTGTGGGGTCTGCGTCTCATTCTGCAGCTCAAACTGTTAGGATACCTATACATCTGTTCTATCTAGGTATTCTACAGCAAGTGCTGTAGTTAGTATATATTTTATTTTATTTTATATTTTATATTAAACCCCTAATTTGGCTCCCAACTTGCCTCTTGCTTTGCCTTCTAATTCGCGAACTGATTTGCCTCTGCTGTCTCCTCCTTTATCCCTCTGTTCTTTCTGCTTAATGTCTTTCATTTATATTCTTTGCTTTTTTACAAAGTCTAATTTTCTAATATCTATTGCATATTTAATAATAGCATAGATAATATCTATATCTGCTTTTCATTGACTAGCTAGTTTATCTTTATAAAGTTGTTTAGTAACTACATAGGAGTTCTGTTCTTTAACTATTTAAAAGATATTATTAAAATTGAAACTTAGCATTTCTATTGGTTTCCTTTTTTAATTTATATATTTAAAATAAAATAATATAAAGTATCTAATAGTTTTCTCTTTTTAACTATATTTATATTATTCTAATTTTATAATATTAATAACTACTAGAAAATAATTCAGCTAAATATGCTTTATATAAAACTATAATAAAATAAAAGCCTTTTTCTTATTTAATTTATTATAAAGTATTATAATGTATTTTTTTTTATTTTTAGAAATAGCGCTATTTACTACATAAAAGCTTTTACTAATATTTTATAGTCTCTATTATTTCTTAATTAAGATCTAGTTTTAAAAAGTGCTTTGAATTTATTTTATATTATTTAAAACTATTTATTTATTTTTTATCTTATAATAAAAAAGCTTATAGCTTACTTAGCTAATTAGTCTATTTTAATATATTTTATAATAGTAAACTTCTTTAGAATTTATTAAATAGCTAACTATTTCTTAAAAACTGTATAATAATTAATTATATAAAAAATATTCTATATTATAATAGCTTTACTTTAGCTGTTTTAGCAATTTACTACATAAATAACTATTTAGCTATTAAACTATATAAATACTTAGGAAATTAGCTTTCTATAATTATAAAGTGTTTTTTTTTTTAGCAAAACTCTAATTAAAATTATAGCTTTGTTAATTATAAATAGCTTTATTATTATATTATTAATATTCTCTTTTAATTTAATTAACTAAATAAGAATAAATAATAATATTAGCTTTTTAAAGTATACGCTTACTCTAATCTCTATTTACTTATTAGTAATTAAGCTATTAATAAAAATATTTAAATACTGTTTTTTTATTTTAAAGTAGTTATTATATACTTTATTAAAGCTATATAAATTAAATTTGTAGTTAATTATTATTATACTCTATAATAAAGCTATTTATATAAAGATAATTTTAATATTAGTCTTTATTTTATTTAGCTATATTTCTATATTATAAAGAAAAAAAAATAACAATTTTACTCTAAATTTTTCGATTATTTTTTTAAGCTGTGCTTTTAATAAGTTAGTTTCTAATAATGTATAAAGCCCTATATAGAATTTGCTAATTTTTAATTAAAACTAAATATATAGAAAAAAAACGTCGTTTTAATACTAAATACTTTAATTAAAATTTTATAAAAGTATTTAACTACTATTTAACTACTATTTAAGCTTTTATTTACTATATAAAATTAAGAATTTTAATAGTGCAATTATTAATCTTTTTGCTAAAAAAGTAAGAATATTATATTATTATTATATAATCAGTTTACAAAATTATAATAATTAATAAAATCAATATACAAATTATAGCTTAATATAAATAAAGCGTTTTAGTTAACTAGCGCTTTTCTATTCTCTAGTTTTCATTTTAGCTAAATAATCTTTAAACTACAGCTTTAAATTAAAAATAACTTTTAAAAATAACTTTTTTATTAAGAGTTTAATAATATAGTTACCTATTTATAGAAAAAGTCCGCTTTATTAATCTTCCTTTAGTTTTATATAAAATATATAAAAATTATTTTATTATTTTTAAATAAAGCGCTGCTGTCCTTTACTTATTAAAGAGTTATCAAGATAATTTTATTATTTAATACTAATATATTCCTTTCTATTAACTCTAAAATTACTTATTAAGTATAATTGTTTATAAATTCTATATTGCCTCTTTTATTATTAATCTTTTTTTTTTATTAAAAAAGCATTAAAAAAATATATAAGATTAGAATTAGTATAGATCTTTATAAAAGACTAGACTTAATAAGTATAACTTAACTTAATTCTGTCTTATAAATTAATACTATAATAAGCCAGTTAATATAAAATAAGTTAATTTATATAATTATATTAGCTGGAATTCTTTTTATACGTAATTAATTAATAAATACTTAATAAAAAACGCTATTATATACTTCTTTTATATTAAAGTTAATAAAAGAAAGCATATTTCTCTATTATTATACTTTAAAGATTTTCTTAATAAAAAAAACAGTGCTTAATTATATAATTATTTTAGTCTAGCTCTAAATTAAATTTTATAAAGAAAATTAAAAGCCTCTATTTAATATAATATTCTTTATACTAGTATTAATTCTATAAGCTTATTTAATATATTTAAAAGAGAAAAAAAAGAAATATGCTTTTGCTATTTAGTAGTTTAGTTTCTCTAGTTTCTATAATAGTAAAATGCGCGCTGTTTTCTTTATTATAAATATATATTCTATATATTTTAAAGCTTTAAAAACAGACTCTAAATATTACTATATAATTAATACTATTCTTTTCTTTTCTATTTATTCTTTACGCTTGTTTTTAACCTTCCTCTTAATATAACTTTATTAAATTTCAACTTTATATATTCCTATAAGCTTATACTCAATTAATTTAGCAAACTACTATGTAACTATTATAGATTACTAGCATAGTATAAATAAAACAGCTAAAAATTCACTTTTTACTTTAGCTTTATTTCTAAAGTATACTATTTTTTATATATTAGTTTAACTTAATTTTTAGATATTAAGCTTTAGCATCATGTTTATATATAGTAATAATATTAACAATCTTCCTACTACTATATAACTATTATAATAGTAGCTAAAGCAAATTCAAATATATTAAGTATTTAAGTTTTATCTAATTATTATAATAACAATTTCAAATATAAGCTAATAGAATAATGCTTTACTAAAAATCAAATTTATTTAATATTGTAAATACCAGATTTTGTCTAATATTTAAGCTATAAAATTAACTATAATAAATATATATATATATATATATATATATATATAAGATTTTGCTTAGCTTTTTTCTCTTTTACTAATTTTTGCAGATATTTATATTTTCTAATTTTTTTTATTCTTTAATATTCCTAGCTTTTGCTTAGCTATATTCTTTATTTATATTAACTTTATTTTACAAAATTAGAGTATAAAAATAAACTTTTCCTAGGGGTTTTA